TTAAAGAAGCAGAGATAACTTTTAATTTTCAAAGTTTGATGAACAACCATCCATTAGCTTGAGAAGTTGAGTAACAGGAAACTGTACTTGTTTTTCAAACCATTTGCAAACTGTAGAAAAGCAGCTGGTCAGAAAATGCACAACCGTTAAACTGCAGTCCTATTGACGATCCTTGGCTTGACAGGGCCATAGGGACACTCATCACTGGCAATTGTGCCATATTTACAGTCTGTGTAAAAATATCACCTGGGCAATTCATGTTCTTTGATGCACTTTGTGTATGGCACTGCCTCACTCAAGGTAGTGGAAGTTAGCAAAACATCTACTCCAGGGTTAAAAACATTCACAAAATCATTAGCAATGAGTCATCTCACTTTCTCTGCTTTGATAAAATAGTTCTCATAGTTTTATTTTAATAAGAAAGTTTCCTGAGAGGATCCTTCCCCTCACCACATCATTGAACCCTTCTTGTTTAGTTGCAGCATACATGGCTTCAGTAGACACATCAATGTCAAATCAGTGACCATATTCTAACCTATCAAATCTTGCCTATTTGATGACACTTCTGATGTACACAGTATATGGTAGCAGACAATTGAATAACTGATTTGGGCAGGGACACTTCAATTACTTTGGCCCCTTCAGACTCAAAGAGATTAGCAGCTTCGGACCAAAGAGATTGTACTTCACTTGACAATTCTGGTATAAGATATTCCTTTGGAATTCCTATACATAGTTTTCTCACATCTGTTAAACTGGGAAGTATAAATGGTTTTAACAGGATCTTAACTTGTGGTAGAATCTTAGAAATCCTGCCCAGCTAGTATATTCGACATGATGCCTGCATCATCCACACATCTAGTTAAGATTCTGGGCACACCATTGAAATCACCAGGGGAATGAGGCCATGACAAGAAACTAAGTCACAGCTGGGATTTAAACCAACAACCTCATAGTGGGCAGCTGGATTGCTGGTTGATCTTCTGGAATCTGGTCCTAAAGCAACGAAGCAAGTGAATGCTGACACAGCCACTGCACTCCCTTCTGAGCTTCCTCCAGTGATAAGACAATTTGAATACTTATTCTCACCATGAGACTTCTGCTTCCTCTTTTCTCTATATTGTTTTGAATAGCTCCATGGATTTTTAACTGGTCCAAAAATGCCATCTGTGCTTCTGTATCCCATAGCAAACTCATCTAAGTTTGTTTTTTACCATTAACAGGGCTCCCTGATCCAACAACCTCTATGGCATTTTAAGGTGATACATAACTTTTCAGCATATTTGATGCATACGTTGTCTCAATGCCAGATGTGCAAAAGTTGTCTTTTACTGCAGTAGGAATTTCATCTAAATCCCCCAGTGAGTGACCTTTTTTATATATTTTCTCTGATTCTTCAACTTGCTTTAAGACCACCTCTCCTGATACAGTTACTTGGTCTTCTTGATAAAGGAGAGCTACCTTTGACAGAGCTCAATTGGAGTAACCTGGCCTTGTTCTAGTGCCGCAGAAACTTCTTGCAGGGTCCAACCCATCGTGATCCTTGTGCCCTGCCTGCCACCACCAGGACCTGGTGACAAAGGAGGAAGAGGAACAGTTGTTCTTTTGAAGTAGAAGGTGGTTATCAAATTTGTATCTTTATGGCACAATAAATAAGGGTGTCAAGGACTTGAAGGCTATTTATGAGGTTTAGGGTAGTAGCTTACTATTTACATCCATTTTCTTTTTTGAACATCATCACATGCTTGTTTCAGTTGCCCTCTGTGTTGGTTAAGATTCCGTGCCTGTAGGCCCTAGAATTATGCATGAAAAAGCTACTTTTCACAGAAATATAGTTTGTTTTTCACTCATGCAAGAAACCTTGTAAGGCTTTGATCTGTTTTCTGGGGCTGCCGTAACCAAGTACTACAAACCAGGTGGTTAAAACAACAGAAATTTATTGTTTCCCAGTTGTGGAGGTTGGAAGTCTGAAATCAAGGTGTCAGCAGGGTCACTGATCCCTCTGAATTCTGGTCACAGGGAGAATCTTTCTTTGCCTCTTCTAGATTTTGGTGGTTGCAGGCAAACCTTGGGTTCCTTGGTTTTTAACTGCCACCACTCCAGTTTCTGTTTGCTTCAGGTGGCTGTTTTCTGCCTGTGTTTGTCTCTGGGTCCCCTTATAAGGACATCGGTCATATTGGATTCAGGGCCAACCCAACTCCAGTATGATTGCATCTAATCAGACCCTAATTCCAAATAAAGTCATGTTTTGATGTAACTGGAGTTCCTAGATAGGACTTCAGTGTATCTTTTGGGAGAGGGATATGATTTAACCTGTAACAAGCTCTGTGGCTAGCATGATCCTCCATGATGTCAAATGCATTATGACCTTGACCAGGCTGGCAGCCTCCAAAGCCCAGGCCATGGGGTGGAGAAAGGTTCTGGTTGTTGTCATTCTCCACTGACCTGGATTTAGTCACTTGGCTGCTCCTATCTGCTCAGGAGGCTGGAGAGAGAGGGCATCTTTCCAGGTTGCCATGTGCAGCTAAAACCCAAGGTTTTGTTAGCATGGAAGAAAGAGAGCAGGTTTTGAGGACAGCCAGTAGTCTCTGCCACATGTTCATAGCACTTGGGGGGTGGGGGTGGGAGTGGTCTCTGTTGTTCAGTTTCTCTCCTACTGTGTCTTTTCTCATTGAATTATTTCTAGCATTTAAAGTGTAAGAGGGAGTTTCCTGTATATGATTATATTAGTTTTCTAATGATTTTAAGACTTTATTTTATTCAGCTAAATTTCATTGAATAGTTCCTATTAATAATTAGTGTGGGAAATAGCTAGAAGTGGAAGATGTGAAAATTCTGTTGAGAAGGAGAGGACTTTGACTAAGGAGCAGAGACATGTGTTTGTGAAAAGATGCTTGTGAAAAGTAAGAAAGAGATAGAGACTTCATAGAATTATCTTTTAAGAATGATGATTTTAATGATAGTTAATGACAAACATTCTTTGGGATTGCCTTTCTTTGGGATTGGAATGACAGCTGACCATTTCCAGTCCTGTGGCCACTGCTGAGTTTTCCAAATTTGCTGACATATTGAGTGCAGCACTTTCACAGCATCATCTTTCAGGATTTGAAATAGCTCAACTGGAATTCCATCACCTCCACTAGCTTTGTTCATAGTGATGCTTTCTAAGGCCCACTTGNAACCTGTATGCAGGTCAGGAAGCAACAGTTAGAATGGACATGGAACAACAGACTGGTTCCAAATAGGAAGAGGAGTATGTCAAGGCTGTATATTGTCACCCTGCTTATTTAACTTATATGCATATTACATCATGAGAAACGCTGGGCTGGAAGAAGCACAAGCTGGAATCAAGATTGCCAGGAGAAATATCAATCACCTCAGATATGCAGATGACACCACCCTTATGGCAGAAAGTGAAGAGGAACTAAAAAGCCTGTTGATGAAAGTGAAAGAGGAGAGTGAAAAAATTGGCTTAAAGCTCAACATTCAGAAAACTAAGATCATGGCATCTGGTCCCATCACCTCATTGGAAATAGATGGGAAGACAGTGGAAACAGTGTCAGACTTTATTTTTTTGGGCTCCTTAATCACTGCAGATGGTTATTGCAGCCATGAAATTAAAAGACGCTTACTCTTTGACAAGCAGTGATAGCGATTTGATACAGAGGAGGAGGAAAGCAGAGTAAGGCTTTCTTTTTTTTTTTTCCCCACAGGAATTAAAGTTTTATTTATTTATTTGTTTTTCATTTATTTTTATTAGTTGGAGGCTAATTACTCTACAATACTGTAGTGGGTTTTGTCATACATTGACATGAATCAGCCATGGATATACATATATTCCCCATCCCGATCCCCCCAGAGTAAGTCTTTCATTCAGAGTTTCTTCCATAGGTCTTATTCTCCCAGCCTGTCCTTGCCACCTGATTGCTGAAGGCCTGGGAATGATCTTTCTCTCTGTGTTCACAGCAGTGTTGCATGGTGCTTGGAACCTGGCGGGATTCAGTAAATACTTACGGAATCATTTTCTGTCAAAACCTGTGTGTATTGTTAATGACACAATAAAAATGTCCTGGTTCTTGATGTGTTCAAATTTGGAGACATATTTGTTGTTTGAATGGGAGCTAGTATACTTGTTAAGAAAGTTACAAAGATAGTTCCATGGCCTGGAACTCTTTTGTGTGTGTGTGTGTGTGTGTGTACATATATACACACTATAAGCTATATGTGTATACTGTATGTACAATGTTATATGCTATAATAGTTTATACTACATATTATTTAGTATTTCTAATGACCTAACATAATGAATGCTGCAGATGGTGGATGCAGCCATGAAATTAAAAGACACTTTCTCCTTGGAAAGGAAAGTTATGACCAACCTAGATAGCATGTTAAAAAGCAGAGACATTACTTTGCCAACAATGATCCATCTAGTCAAAGCTGTGGTTTTTCCATTGGTCATGTATGGATGTGAGAGTTGGACTGTGAAGAAAGCTGAGTGCTGAAGAATTGATGCTTTTGAACTGTGGTGTTGGAAAAGACTTTGAGAGTCCCTTGGACTGAAAGGAGATCCAACCAGTCCATCCTAAAGGAGATCAGTCCTGAATATTCATTGGAAGGACTGATATTGAAGCTGAAACTCCAATACTTTGGCCACCTGATGCAAAGAGCTGACTCACTTGAAAAGACCCTGATGCTGGGAGGGATTGGGGGCAGGAAGAGAAGGGGACAACAGATGATGAGATGGTTGGATGGCATCACCGACTCTGTGGACATGGGTTTGGGTGAACTCCGGGAGTTGGTGATGGACAGGGAGGCCTGGTGTGCTGCGGTTCATGGAGTCACAAAGAATTGGACATGACAGAGTGACTGAACTGAACAGAACAGAACATAATGAAATACAGTGTAAAATATATTGCAAATTCCATGGAAGCAATTATTTTGCTTGTGCTTTGTTCCTATAGTTTAAACAGTCTGTGTTTTTCCTTTTTCTGTAGAACTTTCTGTTACTTGATGAGCTACCACAATGCAATCATCAGCTGCCATCAGATGGTAAAACAGTTGTGAACATGCAAGATTTCACTGCTTTTTGGGATAAGGTAACAAATCCTTAATTTCACGATTGTGACTGCTAAAGGACAACTGTGACATAGATTTATTGGAGGATTTTGAGATTTTACACATGATACAAAATGTGACTTGCCCATTTACCATGGAAGTATGTTATAAAAATTCTGAATCAGAAATGAGTTTTGCAATTAATAGAGATTAAAAATAAAGATGGTTGTTTTGAGGCACTAGCCTGCAGTCTTCTTGATCTGCCAGCTCCCCAATTAAGGTCTTTTCCTTGCCTCAAAACATTGTCTCTCAGATTCATTGCCTGTCATGTAGTGAGCAGAGTGAGGTTGAACTCGGTAACAATTTGGCTTAGCCAGCCAGGAGCCTTGCTGATCGTGGCTAGCTGGCACCAATCAGGGAATATTGGAGCAAGACCCTAGCAGCTGCTGGGATCCTTTGTCCTGAGGTTCTTTCCTTCAAGATTCCCTGAAAAGGTACTGGCTGCCCTCAGAGCTTGACAATTGAGACAAGGAACTGACAGACTTCTAGAGTCAACAGACTCAATTTCGGTTGTAGGGTAAGTCTACCCAATTTGATAGCTGATTCAACCGGTTCACTTGTTTTGTGTGTCGTTTTGTGTTACAAGCTGACGGGCTTGATTTTGAAGGGTAAGTTGCTCTAGTGTGCACACCGGGAACATTTTTTTCTCCTCAATCTGGGCTTTTCCTTTACAGGACAAGCTAATTTGGTTGGGTACCTATTTACAGAGGGGAGGTGTTGTTGGACTCTACCCTGAACCAGTTCATTGGGAACTAGTTCTCATGGGGCAAGCCCACCATAGCTCATATGTAGGGTAAATTTATTTACCTGATTTGGGAACTGGTCCAGTTGGAACTGGTTCATTTGGGAGCTAGTTTTTGTGGGAGTGGGTAACCTAGATAAAATTAGTTCATTTTTTTTTTATAGGGTAAATTTATTTACCCTATCGGTGGCCAGTTCATCTGTATGCATTGATGCTGAAATCTGTCTTGTACCATTTTTGTTGGAAATTGTCTGCATCTCTTGTGTTTTGGTGTTTTGTGTTTTGCAAAAATGGGAAATATTTCATCTGTCCTGAAGGAAAGGCCTTTGGGGTGCATATTAGATACGTTAAGATCAAAAGAGCAATGGCCTCTGTATGGCTCACAATTAACAATCTGGCAGTCAGAAGTGCTTTACAAAGGAGAGGAATGCTCTGGTAATGAACATGCCCGGGCGGCTCCCTTACACTTGAGGCATCCAATTCTAATTTCCCCTATGGAACTCCAGAGAAAGGAAGGGCAAACCACTGTGGTATTCTTACTTGGAGAATTTCATGGACAGAGGAACCTGGTGGGCTACAATCCAGGGGATCACAAAGAGTCAAACACAACTGAGAGACTAATACTTACTAACACTAAAAATAAAGTTGGCCCGAGGCATTTGACATATTGTTATTTGTCTTGTTTTCAAGAGAACTTTCAAAGGGTTATCATATTTTGAACTTGAAGTAAATTCATTTATAATGTTAGAATTTGTAGGATTGAAGAGACAAAATGCTGCAGTATAGAAATGGTTAACTAACAAATACACAATCAGTTGTTAGAGACCAGAGACTTTGGATACAATCAGTGTATGTTTTTTGCCTTAATGTTATTAAATATCTTATTACATAGTGTGAGTGATTTGGATCTTTGCTGTAGGGTAGGGTGGGGCTCCTCTATCCTAAGCTTCTGGATGGTTCTGGCTACTTTGGTGGCAGCCAGAGGCAGGAGGAGAGAACAGGTGGGCATAGTGAGTACCAGTGATTCTAACTTGAAGGGCTGTACTGTGTGGCAAGCTCTAACAGGGAGAACTGATGATATCACAAAGATTTCCCCAGCACTTGGTTTATTTCTGAAATTTAGCAAATAGGAAAAACAATAGGGACCACTCTCCAAAAGTTCTCAAGTTTGCACTCCCAGTGCAGCCCCGTTACAGACAACTGAAAGTCACCTCCGGCCTCCGGCTTTATAGTTCTTTGTGCACATCCTCCTGTATCAGTGTGGATTAATCAGGAGAACCAAACCTGCATTCAGGGGAGAGGGGATTCCATGCAGGAAATTAGTTACATAGGACATGAAAGAACAGAAAAGAGCAAAGCAGTGGTGGATGAGGCAGCTCAGCGATTGTAAAGACAGGAAGCTGCTACCGCCCCAGGACTGGAAGGACTCAGGGAGGAGACACCTTACCAGAGGGTCCACCCTCCAGAGCAGAGTCCGGGAGCCTGGCTGCTGTCAGAGGGGGGACCGCAGAGCAAATGTCCAGGCTCTGTAGACTCCTCCTGTCTTTCATGCCAGTGACTCTGTTGTGCCACCTGCATTGTGTTCACCTACTTCTGACTCAGCACCTTTCATCTCCACCAACAAGACAGTAGCATGTTCTATATAAATATATAGAACAAATATATATAACCACATCCCTACACCTTTTGCACATGGGAACTCATACAAGGTGCCTGACCTACCCTACCTTAATAGAGTAGATTTGCCTCCTGCTTGGTATTTCTTATCATAATCCACTCGAAGCATTTATGGAAGGCACCACTAAAATTCCATTATGGTGTTAACTTTATGTGAATGTTGACACATACTTTGTATGTTGTTTTTCAGTCGCTAAGTTGTGTGTCTTTGTGACCCCATGGACTGTAGCCCACCAGGCTCCTCTGTCTGTGGGGATTCTCCAGGCAAGAATACTGGAGTGGGTTTCCATGCCCTCCTTCAGGGGATCTTCCCAACCCAGGGATCAAGCCCAGATCTCCTGCAATGCAGGTGGATTCTTTACCTTCTGAGTCACCATATGGCCAATTACCAAATTTCTCTTGTATCAAACTATGCAACATTATAAACTGTTTTGTTCTTCTTCCAAGAACTTCCAAGAACATGTTCTTAGACTTCTGTACAACTTGCATAGTTGTACAGAACACCCTATTGTGTTGTCCTGGAATTGCCTATGGAAAGACTGCACCTTGACAGAGTCGTTAGTAGTTAGGGGCTGTCAAGTTAGGTCATGGGTGAGGGGGCCCTTGGGAGGGAGAAAGGCAAAGACATTGGAAGTTTTAAAGAGAAACTAAGTCTTAATGAAGCCTCTGCTGGGTTGGGAGGCAGGAAATAGACATGAGCTCTAACTGGCTCCACTGGACAGCCAGGTGAACAGTTTGGGGATGGTCTCGTGGACGCAAGTCTCATTCATGAAATGATGGGAATTGATCTCAATCTCTAATCTTTAAAGTATATTTGGGGGTAGCTCCAAATCTCCACGGGGCAGAGGTTTCACGCTGTTCTCACATATAGTGGGGAACTCAGCTGATGATCTTTGTTGAGTCAGTGGTCCCCAGAGCCTGAATAACCATGAGGGAACCTACCCAGTACCCATGGGCTGTCGAGTGCTGCCCCCCTTCTGGTAGTGGCAGAGCAGTGCCTGATCCCGAAGCCTGAACAAGGAGGGAACTCAGTGTGTGGCCCTGATCGACTTTGAGATCTGCAGAAAGGAATCTGATGTTTGTATTTTGTAGTCTTAACCAAGTGAAAAGTAGTAAACTAGGAACCCTAAGTGTCAGGCAAGAGGAAAGGAGTGGATAAGCTTAAAAATGTTTCTTATGTATTAAAATTTAGTTTCTTCTTGATCAGTTCAGTTCAGTTCTGTTCAGTAGCTCAGTCGTGTCTGACTCTTTGTGACCCCATGGACTGCAGCATGGCAGGCCTCCCTGTCAATCACCAGCTCCCAGAGCTTGCTCAAACTCATGTCCATCGAGCCAGTGATGCCATCCAACCATCTCTTTCTCTGTCGTCCCCTTCTCCTCCTGCCTTCCTTCTTTCCCAGCATCAGGGTCTTTTCAAATGAGTCAGCTGTTCTCATCAGGAGGTCAAAGTATTGGCACTTCAGCTTCAGCATCAGTCCTTCCAGTGAATATTCAGGACTGATTTCCTTAGTCTGGTTGGATCTCCTTGCAGTCCAAGGGACTCTCAAGAGTCTTCTCCAATACCACAGTTCAAAAGCATCAATTCTTTGGTGCTCAGCTTTCTTTATAGTTTAACTCTCACATCCATACATGACTACTGGAGAAACCATAGCTTTGACTATATGCATCTTTGTCGAGAAAGTAACATCTCTGCTTTTTTAATATGCTGTCTAGGTTTTTCATAGCTTTTCTTCCAAGGAGTAAACTCTATTCTTGATACTGTTTGTACACCTATAAAATCTGGTATAATTTGATGATTAAAAATAATTGTTGTTTTAGCAAGTGACTGTTCCATAACCATTTCAGTTATTTCCAGAGGAATTTTTTACTTAGATTTTCCATACTTTTAACCTAGATCCTGTTCCTTTAGCCTTTCAGGCATTTTGCTAATCACATATGATCACTCTCTTAAGAAAAAGAAAAAACTAGCAGTTATTGAGAAGTTTTCTTAATACTTAGTGTATATAAATGTGTATGTATATATATATACACCCTTAAATCTCTTTACTTTAGAACTTACAGATTACTCAGTGATACAACTTGTGAATAGCATGATGAGTCCTCTGTAATTTGCTCTTGTGTTGGATTGTACATACAACAGCACATCTTTTTTTTTTTTTTTTTTAACAGAAGTACTTTGTTATCCCTGTTTAGCCAGGGCAGGTAATGCATATAATAGGTGTAAAATTTAGGGCTATCACTGTAACCCATGATGTCATACTTTACACCTATTCCCTTTTTTGTTTTTGTTGGTTTTGGTGTTAAGTTAGAGCTCTAGTGAGGTTAGAGCCTTGACTGCCTTTTACAGGAGTTTTTTATGGTTGGCTAAAAAGTTTCTTTGGTTTTTAAGTAAAAATAAAAGACAGGTTTAATTTTCACCAAGAACTTTTCAATTTTTCACAATTTTGGGTTAAATTTTTTATCTTTTTGAGCAAAGAACTGTTCCAGATACCTTTTACAGTTTTCCAGGGAATTGAATTTTTTCCATTAAGAGAATTTTGTAAAGACAAATAAATGGAAGTCCAAAAGTGCAATGTCTGTTGAGTATGGGGGATCAGTAAGAACTTCCCAGCCAATCTGTAACAGTTTTTTGCCTGGTCATCAAAGAAACATGTGGTCTTGCGTTATCCTGATGGAAGATTATGCATTTTCTGTTGACTAATTCTGGATGCTTTTCGTAGAGAGCTGCTTTTGGTTGGTCTAATGGGAGCAGTATTTGCTGAAATTAATCATTTGGTTTTCCTGAAGGAGCTCATAATAGGGGATTCCATTGCAATTCCACCATATACACAACATCACCTTCTTTGGAAGAGGACTGGCTTTTGGTGTGGTTGGTGGTGGTGCATTTCACTTGCCCGCAATCTATTCTGTTCCACAATATTGTACAGTATCCATTTTTCATCACCTGTCACAATTTGTTTTAAAAATGGAATGTTTCTGTTATGTTTAGTGGAGAACTGCTTGCATAATATGGTCAAGAAGGGGTTTTTTTGCTTAACTTCTGTGAAGCTCAAATATCAAGGTGATTAACATAACCAAGCTGGTGCAGACGATTTCCATTCAATACGTTGAATGAAATATTTGAATATTTTGAATATGTCAGCTGTCTCCTGCATGGTATAGCGTTATTTGTTCTCAATGTCTTGATGTGATCTCTATCAACTTCAACTGGCATACCTAACAGTAGAGCATCATCCAACAAGAAATATCCAGCACAAAACTTTGCAAGCCACTTTTGACACAGTTGATCAGTCACAGCACATTCTCCATACACTGCACAAATCTTTTTCTGCATTTAAGTGGCATTTTTACCTCTCTTGAAATAGTAAAGCATAATGTGCCAAAAATTTTGCTTTTTTATTTTAATATTAAAATGGCTACAAAAAATTCACCAATTTAAAAAAATTAAATTTAAAAACAATTTAAAAACAGCTGTCATAATACAATCTTAACAACATTGTTTTGAATAAAGTTAAAGACAACTTAGTGCTACTAGAGCCATCTTACAGAAAAAACTGAACAGACTTTTTGGCCAACCCATATTGAGAATGACTTCTTTGTATAAAGCGCTCCTTTGCTTGCTGAGCATTACTGAGATTCTTTCTTCATCAAGTGAAAATGGAGAGATTAGTGGAGATTCAAATTATTTAAAGGGCCAGGTCTGCCATGTAGCTCCCTTGTGGAGATTAATGAGACATAGTCAATTAAAGCCAAGGGTCATAGTGAAAACTTATAAATGATTAAAAAACTTCACATACTGGATATTTCTATAGAGTATGTTATTTTAATAAGTTAATATGCATCATGAAGTTTTTACTTCATGCAGGTGCCTTATCATTTCACCTACTTAAAATCTGTGGGTGTCTAAATGTAACTAAAGCTGCTTGAAACTCCCAAAGAGATATGATTGGATGAAAAGGCCTCCAGGACAGGATGTCTTAAAATAGGCAGGAGAAAAATGTGGGTTAATTTGCATATTAATGAATATTATATTATTTTCTCCATTTTCTGTAGCATATGGCTTTATTTTATTGAAATGGGTATGTTTTTATAAACTTTAATTTGCAGGAATTAAGAACCCCAACCCTACAAGGCCTTTCCTTTACTGTCAGACCTGGTGAACTGTTAGCTGTGGTTGGACCTGTGGGTGCAGGAAAGGTAAGTTGTGGTGCCTTTTGGCAGCTTGATGCAACACTACAGTCCCTATTAAATTCTCAGAGTTGAGCCCAAAGCTGTGTTTTTTGTTTGTTTGTTTAAACAGGATAGTTTATTGAAATTGAATAGTAGTAAAATAATTATAGTGAAACCCACGTCTGCATTGCCTCAGTTTTGGTCCCACACATCCATCCTGATTCTCAGAAAGTTTTACATGTACACAGTGTATTGATTCCTTATAATTTATAATGTCATATAAGAGATATTTGGTAAGGATTGCGGTGGTTGCCATGAAACTTACTGAGAAGAGCACGGAGAGGCCTGGCATAGTTTTCTCATGGGCACAGGAGTCCTGGACAGTCATTGGAGGACGAAGGGACCTTCTGAGCCAAAGTGTAAGTTCATTCCACAGAGGGATCTATAAAGATTTACCCTCTTGAGAAGTTTTTGTTGATTGTCACACTTGTGAAATCTCCATGATGATTATAGTCCATATCTTTCAGCTCATTAAAAATGCTAATCTATTGTCCTAGGTTTACATTGTTTTAGTAAGTCATCCATGGTCATTCTTTTTTTTTTTTAATATATTAAAATTGCATTTACTGGGCTCTGTGTGTCCTAAGTATGGTTATTCTTTTTTAAAATTTATTTTTCAACTGGAACCATAATTGCTTCACAGTGCTGTGTTAGTTTCTGCTGTACAACAGCATGACTCATCTGTAAGTATGTGTATATATATATCCTCTCTGTCTTGGGCCTCCCTCCCACCCTCCCCCACTCCACCCTTCCAGGTCATCACAGAGCACTGAGTTGAGCTCCCTGTGCTATATAAGCAGCTTCCTGTGCTGAGCTGTGCTTAGTCACTCAGTCGTGTCCAACTCTTTGTGACCCCATGGACTGTAGCCTGCCAGGCTCCTCTGTCCATGGGGATTCTCCAGCAGGAATACTGGAGTGGGTTGCCATGCTCTCCTCCAGGGGATCGAACCTACATCTCCCTCCTAAAACAAGAACAATATGATGTTAGGAAGTGTTCTAATTTCATTATTTTACATGTAGCTGTCCAGTTTTCTCAGTACCACTTATTGAAGAGGCTATATGTTCTCTAATGTATATTCTTGCCTTGTTTGTCAAAGATAAGGTGTCTATAGGTGCATGGGTTTGTGTCTGGGCTTGCCATACTGTTCCATTGATCTGTATTTCTGTTTTTTTTTGTGCCAGCCCCGTACTGTCTTGATTACTATAGCTTTGTACTATAGTCTGAAGTCAGAGAGCTTGATTCTCCCAACTCTGTTTTGTTTTGTTTCTTTCTTCTCAAGATTACTTTTCTATTTGGGGTCTTTTGTGTTTCCAAACAAATTGCAAAAATTTTTGTTCTAGTTCTGTGAAAAATGCTGTGGGTAATTCGACAGGGATTGCATTGAATCTGTATGTTGCTTTGGGTAGTATAGTCCTTTTCACAATATTGATTCCTACAGTCCAAGAACACAGTGTATCTGTTCATGTCATCTTTGATTTCTTTCATTAGTGTCTTACGGTTTTCTTCATTTTGGTCTTTTATCTCCTTAGGTAATTTTTTTCCCTAAGCATTTTATTCTTTTTGATACAACGATGAATGGGATTATTTCCTTAATTTTTCCTTCTGACTTTTTGTTGCTAGTAACACAATTTTTTTTTTTCCTTTGAGAAAGATCTTTATTAGTTTTATTGGCAAGAAGACAGAACTTTCCTTCAGCATCCATTGCAAGAATGTCTGCCTCTGGTTTACTTTTTTTAAAAAAATTTTTTTTGCTTCACCTGTGAGGTATGTGGGATCTTAGTTCCCCAACCAGGAATCAAAACCATGCACCCTGCAGTGGAAACACAGAGTGTTAACCACTGTACCACAAGGGAAGTCCTGCCAGTATTTTCTTATTGGGGAAGGACTTTTCTTTGACTTTTCATGCTGCTATAAGGAAAACAGTTTTAATTAGATGTATCTAAAACAGCATTTCTCTAGGTGTGTTCCATGGAACTTCTATTTTACAAGAAGGTTTCATGGCCACATAAATCTGGGTAAATGTGCATTGTTTTCCTTCTTGGTGCTTCATGTTGTACAGTTGGAAACAGTTTGTTGGGAATTTGGCCATCTCATTAAAGGAAATTATTTATGTGACAGCTGTTCAGGATGGTCAGAAACATGGGGATTTCCTTTTCATTACGGTGGCCCCTCCATGAAGTCTGGAGGTTGCAAAGGCTCTTCTGGGAAGCTCTGAGCATTTCCTCATGTGACTTGATTTGTTCCCATCAGTGCACGTGTAGTAAAGGTGCAGTCATGTGCTGGAGCAAAAGATTCTGACGTGAGCAAGACCCTGATGCCTCTGCCCTCCAGAGGCAACCAGGTTACTGGGTGAGACTGATACACTGGCAGATTATTTCAGGTTAGTGTGATGTGGACACACACATACCACATCTATGTGTTGTTAAAGACTTGAAGTAAATATGCAGCTGTCAGTTCAGTTCAATTCAGTTGCTCAGTTGTGTCTGACTCTTTGCAACCCCATGGACTGCACCATGCCAGACCTCCCTATCCATCACCAACTCCCAGAGTCCACTCAAACTCATGTCCATTGAGTCAGTGATGCCATCCAACCATCTCATCCTCTGTCGTCCCCTTCTCCTCCTGTCTTCAATCTTTCCCAGCATCAGGGTCTTTCCCAAAGAGTCAGTTCTTTGCATCATGTGGCCAAAGTATTGGAGCTTCAGCTTCAGCATCAGTCCTTCCAATAAATATTCAGGACTGATTTCCTTTAGATAGACTGGTTGGATCTCCTTGCAGTCCAAGAGATTCTCAAGAGTCTTCTCCAGCACCACAGTTCAAAAGCATCAATTCTCTGATGCTCAGCTTTCTTTATAGTCCAACTCTCACATCTGTACATGACTACTGGAAAAACCATAGCTTTGACTAGATGGACCTTTGTTGGCAAAGTAATGTCTCTGCTTTTGATAAGCTTTTTAGGTTGGTCATAACTTTTATTCCAAGGAGCAAGTGTCTTTTAATTTCATGGCTGCAGTCACCTTATGCAGTGATTTGGGAGCCCCCCAAAATAGTCTGTCACTGTTCCCACTGTTTCCCCATCTATTTGCCATGAAATGATGGGACCAGATGCCATGATCTTTGGTTTCTGAATGTTGAGTTTTAAGCCAACTTTTTCACTCTCCTTTTTCATTTTCATTAAGAGGCTCTTTAGTTCTTCTTCACTTTCTGCCATAATGGTGGTGTCATCTGCATATCTGAGGTTATTGCTATTTCTCCTGGCAATCTTGATTGCAGCTTGTGCTTCATCCAGTCCAACATTTCTCATGATGCACTATGCATATAGGTTAAATAAGCAGGATGACAATATACAGCCTTGACATACTCCTTTCGCTATTTGGAACCAGAGCTGTACTTGGTCTGAAACAACAAAATGTGAAAATCTAGATGTGATGTGTACACAAGAGAGTCATGATTTCCACTAGGATGGACTTTTGCTCTTTGGACACAACTCACTTCAGAGTTCTTTTAATAATAATCTTTGGATATATTCTTCACATGTAGCTTTTTAATAAAAAGTGTTTGTCAACTAAAGGATACTTGGATGCAGAAACAACTACATGAAACATTGAATACATGAAATACTCATCCTGCTGCACTGCTGTGCTAGTTAAGAATATTTAGCTTTCTTAGCTAGCCTTTTCTGAGTATAATTTTTCATTTGGGGGAAATTCTGAGCAGTTTAGATTGTTATAGTATTATATTAATGTTTCTTATCAACTATTAGTAGTACATGGACCAATAGGGTTCTTTTCTTTCTTTTTTCTTTTTTTCTTTTTAGCAATTGCCAGGGCTCTACTGCATCCTGTTCTAAATGAAAGGGTTCTATAGTGTATCAGGTGCAACGGTGGGGTCTGCTGTGCTATGGGTCTTGTTCTATCCTGAGTGCTGCCTATTCACGTGTGTGTGTTGCTGTCTGTTTCAGTCGTCACTGTTAAGCGCTGTGCTGGGGGAGCTGCCCCCGAGCCAGGGACAGGTCAGCGTGCATGGGAGGATCGCGTATGTGTCTCAGCAGCCCTGGGTGTTCTCAGGAACTGTGAGGAGTAACATTTTATTTGGGAAGAAATATGAAAAGGAACGATATGAAAAAGTAATAAAGGTTTGTGCTTTGGAAGAGGTGAGTAATGACTTTGAGTTGCATATACTTAAATTTCAAATAATGATAGTGTTGGTTTAAACTACAGGGTTTACTAAAGTTTTGTTTCAAATTTTGAAAGACTTCTGGGTAAATATACACGTGTAACCCAGCTGTTTAAATGCCAATGTGATAGCAGCACTTACAGATATGCCTTTAGAAAGTAGTGGATGGTTGCTTAATTTTATAAGGTTTTATTCACTTTTTAATTTCTTTCTTTAATGAATGATTACCAAAATTTACAGAAATAGTGTAGTGTAATGAACTCTCGTGTACCACCCCCAGCTTTAGCCAAGATCAGCTGGTGGCCAGTCTTGCTGCATCTCTACCCCTGCCCCCTGCCAGCCCCACCTCCACCCCAGAGTATTCTGAAGCAGGTCCTAGACCTCAGATTAGTTCATCTGTAAACATATCATTAGTTTTCTCTACAAGATAGGATAGCCTTTGGGAAAAAAAAATCACCACATTATTTCCCCTGAGAAATAGCTCAAATTCTTGAATATCATCAAGCTGTGTGGTTTTTTAAATTAATTAATTATTTTAATTGGAGGCTAATTATTTTACAATATTGTAGTGTTTTTTGCCATACATTGACATGAATCAGCCATGGGTGTACATGTGTTTCCCATCCTAACCCTCCCTCCCAACTCCCTCCCAATCCCATCCCTCAGGGTCATCCCAGTGCACCAGCCCTGAGCACCCTGTCTCATGCACTGAACCTGGACTGGCGATCTATTTCACATATGATAATATACATGTTTCATTGCTATTCTCTCAAATCATCCCACCCTCGTCTTCTCACACAGAGTCCAAAAGACTATTCTTTACATCTGTGTCTCTTTTGCTGTCTTGCATTTAGGGTCATCGTTACCATCTTTCTAAATTTCATATATATGTGTCAGTATACTGTGTTGGTGTTTTTCTTTCTGACTTACTTCACTCTGTATAATAGGCTCCAGTTTCATCCACCTCATTAGAACTGATTCAAATGTATTCTTTTTAGTGGCAGAGTAATATTCCATTGGGTATATGTACCACAGCTTTCTTATCCATTCATCTGCCAGTAGGCATCTAGGATGCTTCCATGTCCTGGCTACTGTAAACAGTGCTGTGATGAACATTGGGGTACACATATCTCTTTCAATTCTGGTTTCCTTGGTGTGTATGTCCACAGTGGGATTGCTAGGTCCTATGGCAGTTCTATTTCCAGTTTTTTAAGGAATCTCCACACTGTTCTCCATAGTAGCTGTACTAGTTTGCATTCCCACTGACAGTGTAGGAGGGCTCCCATTTTTCCTTATCCTCTCCAGAATTTATTTTTTGTAGACTTCTTGATAGCAGTCATTCTGACTGGCATGAGATGGTACCTTATTGTGGTTTTGATTTGCATTTCTCTGATAATAAGTGATGTTGAGCATCTTTTCATGTGTTTGTTAGCCATCTTTATGTCTTCTATGGAGAAATGTCTGTTTAGTTATTTGGCCCATTTTTTGATTTAGTCGTTAATTTTTCTGATATTGAGCTGCATCAGCTGCTTGTATATTTTTGAGATTAATTCTTTGTCAGTTGCTTAATTTGCTATTATTTTCTCCTAATCTGTGTTTACATGTTGTTAATCATATCACCGAGAAATCTCCTCCACCATTGTTGAAATCAGACTCTATATGAGGTCTGTCCATTGCACTTGGTTGATGCCTTCTTGCTCCACTTCAGTCTCTAGGTTTCCCTCTCCACTTCATTTTTAACTTGTAGTTTATTCTTGAAAGAAAATGGAATGCTTTAACATTTCTTTTTAATACTGCATCTTTTACTATGGAGAGGTTGTTTTCAGAAATGGCACTGCATTTCACAGGAAATGGCAAGATGAAATGTTTAACTGTACATTGGGATATAAATTAGTGAATAATGAAAACTAAACTTAACTGATAGGAGAATATAATTTGGCAAAAAGAAAGAAAAATTTAAATACTGATAAATACTATGTTACTCTCTTGGGTTAGAAAAATCAGTGAATAACAATGTTAAAGGGCTTCCCCTGGGGTCTATTCAGTGCAGTCTGGACATATGACTTCTTTTATCCTGTGAAGAAAAGGCTGGGACAGACTTTCAAAGGTGTGGGATTGAAGGCTCCAGACCCTCTTTCTGAGGAAATAGTAATTTTGCTTGAACAATGGCTTGAATTTCATAGATTGTTTCAGGTGAGTACCATTTTATGATGATGTGGACAAATAAAATTGCTTATTTAACCATCTTGTTTCTTTCTCCTGGGTTATTGTTAATAGATGATTGTGCTTTTGCAGAAATGATGTCGTTAGCAGTAATGAACTAGATTTTTATTAAATGACATATGTACTGTGTAAGAAAATAAGAGGGAAAGCAAATGTAAGACAGTGAGACAATAGCTGTCATTTATTAAGCCCTTGTGCCAATGTGTTTTCTGTGTATCACTTACATGTGCACACATGTACACACATAAAAAGAAATACGAGTTATGAATCTTTTACCAGTGTTTTTGATGTTGTCACCTCATTTTATAGTTGGTAAAATGGAGGCTTGGTGAGAAGAAATGACTCACCTCAATACTGGCAGCTCAGGTTCAGAGCTGTTTCAGCAGCACTCTAGACTCCACAGTGCTGTGCTGCCTTTCAATTGAGGAAGTTTATAAGGAACAACTTATTTAAAAATTGGGTGATTTATGAAAGTGGGATGGGAAATAAATAGATTTCAGGCATTTCATAAGAAATGGGTTAATAATTACCTTAATCAAGTTGAATTTTTGATGTCCAGATCAGGCTCCAAAGACCCAGACCACTGTGTGGCTCTTTCTTTTATGACCTTGCCTTTCTGGAAAGCTCAGCCTTATCTTTTTCCCCACACTTGAGCATCTCTGGAGAAGAGCAGGTACTGGGACAGTGGCTCTCATTCAGTATTTTCCATGGGAGCTGATGCTTTGCTGCAGCCACATGGGGTGACTGGGCCAGTAATGCGGGCGGTGTCCTGGGGTTTCACCCACCCTAGGGCATGTGTGCAGCACAGACCCTGGTGGGAAGGGGACCTGCAGGACTGGCCTGCACAGTGATTCTTCTGTATGTGCTGTGATGTTTATAAACATGGACCACTTTCCTGTTTTCTGCATGTTTGGGACATGAAGTTGGGGCCCCTTGTGTCCATTTCCTCCTTGGCAGGAAGGGAGGGATCAGAGAGCAGAGTCCTGACCCCAGCTTTGTCACTTGCTCACTGTCACTCTGGACATGTCCTGTTACCTGCCTGTACCTCTGATGTATCTGCAGCAAAATGAGGACTCTGGATCAGAGGGTATCCAGGAAGTTTTCTTGCTGCTCTGAAATGTCATCTGTGACTATGATTAGCAAGAGGTCAGCAAGGTTTTTACACCTGGGAACCACCTAATGAGGTTCTTTGCTTATCCTTTTTGGAATCCCTGTATCAGTGGATGGGTGTAATACTTTCATAGATAATATGGGTGTCCTAGAACCATCTGCAGTGATTTTGGAGCCCCCAAAATGAAGTCTGACACTATTTCTCCTGTTTCCCCGTCTATTTGCCATGAAGTGATGATGATGCCACGATCTTAGTTTTCTGAAGGTTGAGCTTTAAGTCAACTTTTTCACTCTCCTCTTTCACTTTCATCAAGAGGTTTTTTAGTTCCTCTTCACTTTCTGCCATAATGGTGGTGTCATCTGCATATCCGAGGTGACTGATATTTCTCCTGGCAATCTTGATTCCAGCTGTGCTTCTTCCAGCCCAGTGTTTCTCATGATGCACTCTGCATATAAGTTAAATAAGCAGGGTGACAATATACAGCCTTGACATATTTGGAACCAGTCCTTTTGGAACCACTCCTTTTCCTGTTTGGAAGCAGTCTGTTGTTCCATGTCCAGTTTTAACTGTTGCTTCATGACGTGCATGAAGAGGCAGGTCAGGTGGTCTGGTATTCCCATCTCTTTCAGAATTTCCCACAGTTTATTGTGATCCAAACAGTCAAAGGTTTTAGCATAGTCTTGGAACTACCCCACGCCCGAGGTCAGGGGCGGCTCGAGGGGAGCTACCACACATCCAAGGAGCAGTGGCTGCCCAGGCACAGGAGGGCTGAGAGGAGCTACTCCACATTCAATGTCAGGAGGGGCAGACGTGAGGAGATACCCCTCGTCCAAGGTAAGGAGCAGTGGCTGAGCTTTGCTAGAGCAGCCGTGAAGAGATACCCGTGTCCAAGGTAAGAGAAACCCAAGTAAGACGGTAGGTGTTGCGAGAGGGCATCAGAGGGCAGACACACTGAAACCATAATCACAGAAAACTAGCCAGTCTGATCACAGGACCACAGTCGTGTCTAACTCAATGACACTAAGCCATGCTGTGTGGGGCCACCCAAGACGGATGGGTCACGGTGGAGAGGTCTGACAGAATGTGATCCATGGGAGAAGGGAATGGCAAACCACTTCAGTATTCCTACCTTGAGAACCCATGAACAGTATGAAAAGGCAAAATGATAGGATACTGAAAGAGGAACTCCCCGGGTCGGTATGTGCCCACTATGCTACTGGAGATCAGTGGAGAAATGATTCTTTCTTCATTCCAGAAAGAATGAAGGTATGGAACCAAAGCAAAAACAATACCCAATTGTGAATGTGATTGGTGATAGAAGCAAGATCCGATGCTGCAAAGAGCAATATTGCATAGGAACCTGGAATGTTAGGCCTATGAATTGAAAGTGGCCAAACAGGAGATGGCAAGAGTAAGAGTTGACATTCTAGGAATCAGCAAACTAAAATGGACTGGAATGGGTGAATTTAATTCAGATGACCATTGTATCTACTACTGTGGGCAGGAATCCCTTAGACGAAATAGAGTAGCCATCATGGTCAACAAAAGAGTCTGAAATGCAGTACTTGGATGCAATCTCAAAAATGACAGAATGATCTCTGTTCATTTCCAAGGCAAATCATTTAATATCATGATAATTCCAA